CAGCTGATGGAGTGCATGATCTTGATGGCTCTGTACACGCCATACTCATGAGCCCGTATAGGCAAAAAGGTGTAAGTTATGAAGATCAGAAATCATGGTCCAGCTGATGGAGTGTGTAGCGCAGCTGGGCAACAGCTGTAGGAGCATGTCATGTGGGAATTCCAAGTCCTAGTAGTGGTCCTAGTACTTAGTACTGGTTACTAGTTACACTGGTATTCTCTTGAGTCTTGATTGTAGAGCCTCGGAGTTTAGGACTCTTTATACCCAAGGTGTCGCGGCCGCACATAATCTAAATCTAGGGTTTTCGAGGATAATGATAATGTAGGAATCCTTTACGAAAGGCGGCGCGGTCGCACAAAAGATAGATCTAGAGTTTTATGTGGCGTGTTCTTGAGGGCTTCGTTGGATACGGATTTGACTTATGCTTGACTTGACGTGATGTTGACGAGCAGGTCAATAAAACAAATGAAGAAACTACCCATTTTCCCAACAAGCAGCTATTCACTTGCATGCTTGCCGCAGGATCTGTCAAGGAAGGAGACAAATGAAGCGGGAGCAGGAGAGGATTGCATGAACTAAGGTTTTTGTTGCTAGGCTCACATTGAAGCGAGATCGGGAGGTGTTCCATTGTTTGCCATGCAGTTACTGAGAAGGCTTCTCATCCAGTGCCGGAGACTGATGGCCAATTGCGTTTACATTCCTTCGAAGCAAGAAGGATTTTGTTTTGCATAACTTGCTCGCGCGGTGTGTTGCAAACCTCTTTTTCGGCATGCGGCATGAAATTGTCATAGCCACTTTCCACAATCAATTCTATCCTAGCACCAATCCTTTGAGGTATAAATGGAGAGACAAATAGAGAGAGACAGAAGGAAAAATGACAACAACAAGACAAGGTGAATCTTGCAGTATCAGTATACTGTGTTGAGTGGCACTGTACTGGCGTGTGGTTCGCGTTTAGTCACAAAGTTTAGTCAATGACAGGCTCCCTTGAGTTGTGCAGGGGTAAGGCCGGTAAAGCGTTAGTTGAGCGCTGATCCATGAAGAAAGGATTGCGCACAGTCCTTCCATCTTATAATGACTTGACATTTAACGGGAGGCTCTTAGAACTTATTTGCCTACAGGGGTTATAGGGTCCCTTACACTTTTGGAGAAGCATGCAACTTATCCTTGATATGCGTAAAGCTGGTATTTGGTTGACAAACGTATGTAACAGAAAGATGCCCTCTTTGGACCCTGTGCAGGTTCGAGTGAATTTATTTGAGGGTTGAAGCTAAGGGCGGAGGGCCTAGATGGTCTAGGTCTAGGTAACATTCTGGCATGTACGTGTTCTACACTCTAGACAAAAGTCTTGCAACCCCAAGCTTGGTACTCAGCCCTAAACCCTAGAGCTAAACCCTCCAGACGCCCTATAATTTGAACTTATGAAAGCCCAAAAGGAGCCAACGCCAGAAACCAAAATTGAGAAACTTATTGAGACACTTTCCTGGACCTGAACCCTTAGTAATTCAATTCACCCTGGCGCGCGTAATCTTCCAAGCTTTTGATGTCATTGAAGCACTAAGTAAATTGATGTGATCGACTATCGCATATGACATAGGGGGCCATGAACTGGCTGACAGTTTCCCTAACGCGCAACTTGATATCCAACCGAAACCCTCCCCCCGGAGTCCTGAACCCTGAGGTCTCCCCGATATACCCTCAAAACTGCAATTCATCTTGTTGCAATTCATCTTGTTCCCCTAAACCTCTCTTCTACCATAACATCACTACCACACCCCAAGCCTGAGGAGTCCCCCACCCTCCTTAACCCTCAACCCCCTAAACCCTGCTGCAGGCCATGGGCGAGAAGATGCTGGAGATGTGGTTCTCGCAGGAAATGCTGGCAGAGTTCTCTGCTGGCCCAAAGAACTACAAACGGATCCTTCGTGTCGTGGATCTGACGTTTGGCGTGCTTCCACAAGTTGACGCCTTGCACGAGTATGTTCAAGATCAGTTTAAGACCCCAGTGAGCATCATGCTTCGAGTTTGCCGATGCATTGAGCACCTGTGTCGACCAGCTCCCAGCACGTCTGGAGGCAGTGTGGATGATGTCTTGAGCATGCTGTCCAGGTCTGGAGACGGCCACGTGTGGGAAGATAGAATACGCGACATTTTGGAGGTGGACGGCTCTGAGTGGACCGACATCTTACAGGAGACCTTGCAGAAAGCAGCTCAAAGCAAGGCCATGCTGCCGCTGTATGAAAAGTGTGCAGCGATTATTGAAAAGGGAAAGGCAACAGATGTCAGCATTGAAGAGCTCATTGGTGCTGTGAAAGACTTGCTGAAGTTGAAAAACACCATGCGGCGTGGAACCACCAAACAACTTGAGAAGACATGTTACTCAACTCTTTACCGGTACTGCCATCGCATTCTCGACAAGGAACTCCCGCTGCAGAGCCTGGGAACACTACACATGCGCAAGCTCATTACAGCTATGGGCTTGTTGAGCAACCATGAGGGGTGCAATGAGGTGATCGCCAGACTTAGAGAATTCCTGGCCAACTGCAAAACAGACGTTGCTGCGGGCGAGTTGCTTGACATGGCAAGTGAAGCCGGCACTAATGATGTGGACTGGCAGGTGCTGAAGGAGACCCTTGCAGGAGTCAAAGACAATGTGGACTTTAATAGAAAAGATCAAGAGTTGCTCTGTGGCTTCCTCATGCGTCTGATGTCAAAGTGGCATGAGGAGGCACGCTGATCAATCTTCTTTCCAGACTCTTTTTCTGCTTTTACAAAGGCAAAGTAGGTAGAGAGGTCACACTTGGCAAGACTATGAAAGGCTGCAGTTGAGCAACTGAAATCAAAAGGGTCTTTACCACATCTACACTACACACACTGATGATGTATCAAAGGTTTTAGCAGTTCCTATTCAGCTGCTAGCGAGCTTGCGCCGGATGGCTGGGTTGTAGGAGGGCTGCTGACTCCAGGGGTTTGAGTTGTTTTTTTTTGGTCGCGAGCCAAAAAAAGTGATCGCTGACAAAGGTGACAAGCCCGCCGAGGGATGTGCTGCCGTGGGCAAACGAGAGCCTGAGCAATGTTGTTGTGCTGAAGCGTTTGGTCAAACTGGCTGGCCATACTCACGCCGAATGGCTGTTGGGGCAGATCGAGTTGGCGGAGAAAGGCTTGCAACTCCAGGTGAGTGGTGTTGAAAACAGGGGTCATAAGGCCACCAATGCGACTCAATAGGAAGGCAGATTATATCCTCCTACGGGATCCTTAAATTATCATCATATAATATAACCATAAAGGGAATAGGATCTTTACTACTACAAAAATATCCCTACTCAGGCATGCTTGGCTGAGGTGCGCAAGCTTGGTGGGGACAGTGCCACTCGGTTGGCGGCTGATGCAGGTCTTGCCCGCACTACCCGGCTTTGCAATGCTCTGCAGGACTTCAAGAAAAGAAAGGCAGAAATGCATAATTTCATGGATTCCATCAAAGAGGCCACAACCCAAGAGCAGCGTGGCCGTCTGATGGTGTTGCAAATGGACGCTGTCAGCAGCGAGGATGAGCCAGCTACTATGTTGTGGAGCCTTCTGAACCTGCAGAGTACGAAGACCCAGAACAGCCTGAAGCAGCAGCTGCAACTGATTCATGACAGAACGCAGTGCTTGGATGAAAAGGGAACAGGCAACTCCTGAAAGCATGACCTGAGCGACAACAGCCCTCTGCAAGAAATACTTCACAAGGGCAGAGCGCGCCTCAAGGTCATCAAGGCGACTGACACACTGCAGAAGGACATAAGCAGCCTGGCGCAGGCCTGTTTTGTTTGGGATTCTTGGGCTGTATGTGTTGGAACATCCACAAAACAGAACCCTTGACCCCCATGCCTCGTATTCCCATACCATGATCTTTCAGTTCACTACCTTGCTGCCAGGCCGCTGCTGATGCGGAGAAGTTTGCCAACCTGATGAAGAAGGCTTCCATGGATATCTCAGCCTTCCGCTCACAAGTTGAGATTGTGAAGGGCAAGCTGGCAGAAGCTGCTGTTTTCTTGATCGAGGCGTTCCTAGTGTGGGCTTTGAACAATCAGAATCACCCGTTGTCTGCTGAACTCCGAGCGACGCAGCTTGCGAATGCACGCGCTGGGCGCAATGGAGCAGCTGAGCATCTTGTGCTTAAGCCCTTGTTGGTGAAAGCCATGGAAGGCTGAAGACCCGGCTTGCAGATCAGGATGCATGTTGGAAAATGCATGGAGCATCGTGGGACTTGGTAATGATTTGTAAATGGACCTGGTAATCGCCCTGTAAGGCTAGTTAGGGGTTTCGGATGCCCTCCCATCCACACTCCTTTCCCCCATTTCGGGTGTTTCCAAACATGAGAATGCCCCTGCAGACCCTCCAATATACTCTAACTCGTAACCCTCTACCTAAACCCTAAACCGCGTGCAAATGGGACAGAAATCCGCATGCTACGGCTCGGCTCAAACTTAGCTTGCTTGCTCACCACACACCCTAAAGCCTAAACCCAGAACCCTAAAATCCATAAGCCTAAACCCGAAACCCTAAACCCTAAACCCATGTCCGGGAGGTGGTGGGGCTTGGGGGGGCTTTGCGACTAAGGCCGGACAAATTGGAGCTTCTCTCACTCATGACCATTATAAATGTATTGATCGAATACAGATGGAAATTCTGAAATGAGGACTGTTTTTACTTATTTTAATTGAACATAATCTTCCCAAGGCTTTGTTTTTATAGGTTTATGTGTGTTCTTATCTTTTTTCAAATGGGTTCACATTCATTCAATTCCCTATGTTCTCATTTTTGATTTCCTGCTTTTATTTCATTCATATTTCATTCTCTTTTCGTTTTTCATTTCATTATGTATTTGATTTTTTTGATTTTGTTTTTGATTTTTTTTGATTTTTTTGATTTTTTCATTTTTTTTCTTTTTAATATTTTTCATTTTCATAGAATTAACAGGCGGCAAATCTTCTTAAACATTGTGCACTGAAATAGACATGCTGGAGGCGCTGAGCCTCGAGCAGATTGTGGAAGCATCGACTCCGGGAAAAGTCGCCCGGCTGGTGCACAAGGAGCCCTGTCAGAATTTCCTGTTGTTTCTTTGCTCGGACATGGTAGCGATAACCCTTCCATTCAGGAGTTGCCTTTCCGGTTTGCAGCACGCATCCAGCATATTGAGGCATGTTTAGCCCAGATCTCATGCAGAACACTTGCAGCGTGAACATCTTATGAAGGCTGTTACTGGCTGGGAGAAGCAGCTAGAGCTGCAGACATCAACTCAGAGTGCTATAGTGCAAGTGGTTTCCACTTCAGAGCAGGCAATGAAACATATGTACCATTGCTACCAGGCAACTGCACGAGATTTTCCTCGACTCATTCAGCGAGCTTCGCATGGCAGAGCCTCCGGGAACTGAGGAGATGAGCATACAGTCGCAGCTCACAAGTCGGAATACGTGCCAAGATAAGGGTGAAAATGAACTGGAACACACGAGAATCTTGTGACAAAGTTCTGTGAGTTTCGGAGTGCTACTGGCAGGAATGCCAGCTGTCTGTGGAGGACTTGAAGGAATATACAGAGGCAAGTTGCCAGGATTTGCATGGGATGAGTGTAGAGGAGTGCGATGTTTCGCAGCTGCCTCTGAGGTTATCCGAAGTGTGCGTAAACGACATCGGCCAGTCGTTGCTTTACTGGCAGAGGCTTCACGGGATGGTGTTATGCTCGCAGATGGTCTCGCAGCATCCCCATGACAAGAGGCTGTCCGGAAGATGATGCACAGCGATGCGGCCTGGATGGAAGGAGATGCCTTCCAGCTCATGACTTGGAAGTTCTAGCAGAAGCCGAGCAAGCTTAAAGATCATCAATGCAGGTCGTGGGCTGACACGTTCTTGCTGTCTAGAATCTCTACAGAGATGTCAGACGCTTGGCTTAAAGGGATACACCAAGTGCACATGCCCTTAGCAGTCAAGGCTCACATCCCATTACATGGCCGTTGTGGAGTCACACGATCCCTCGGCCAAGCACTTAATTGCAAGCACATGCACGCACAGCATAGCAATGCATAGCAGCCGTTCTAGAAACCCCCTGCCAATTCAGGCAGAGCAGCTGCATAGCCATGCACCGAGTGTTTTGCGACAGTGAAGAGTTGGGTTTTTCAACTTCAAAAGAGTGGTGACATTGCTGGAGTCTGCAGGGGTGCTCACTCCACAGAGGCAGCAGTTCATGTCGATGTCGAGCCGCGCAAAGGTGCTGACCACATCGGTATTGTTGACACAAAGTGCAATCCTGGACGAATTTGTGAAGAGGCTGGGCCAAACCTCCCATGCCAAGTGCGCCCCCGTTCCAGCCTGCAGTTTTGCGAGGCGGCCAAAGCAGTGCAGGCAATGTATGCAAATCCAGAAAGGCACTCACATGGTTTGCAGTTGCACTAGAATCAGCATGCTGTGCAGACTGCTGACAGGCAGGTCGCAGGAAGTCTAAGTGTGAAGGTTCACTCACACTCAGACTCCGGTTCACTCTCTGCCATCGAGTTCTCATACATCCCAAAATACTTGTTCTACATCGTCCAGGACTTCCTGTTGTTGGAAGACCATGATGCCTGGACACGTCAGGAAGTGTTGCAGCACCAAAATGTTAGGAGCTGATAAAGAATAGCGCCAGAGCGACCGTGGAGGCAAGGTAGTAGCAAGAGAGTGAGAAGAAACTTCACTGCTTGAGCGTGCTGATGATTGTCAACGCATCAGATGCACTGTGAGGCCTGCGAAGTTGATAGGCGAAGAACTTTATCCCAAAGGCCCATCATTGTAACCGTCCGCCCGGCATGTTTCTTCTGAAGCCCGTGGGTTTTCTCAGCAATTGAGACGTGTGGCAGACACATGGAGAGAGATCTACTGCCCCCATGCTGCTCTGATCAGGTCTGCGCTGACCAGAAACAAGTGGCCATCAGGATAGCAGACCAGGCAGGTTGAGTGAGTGGGTGCTGGCAGGATCCTTGGGGCATCTGAATTGGTTTTGTTGAGACAGTGTTTGACCTTGCAATGATTGTCTAGCTTCGTTGCAGGGAGGAGGCGTGCCATTTGGCAAAGCTGACGAGATTTGGTCCTATCTCTTTTCGACGTCGAAGCAACCTTTCCAGGACCTGCTTGCATGCTTCGAGAGGGTACTTGATGAGCATGCCCATGCATACTTGAAATTCGGAAGATTGGCATGACCAACGTGATGAAGTCGTTTGACATGTGCTGAGGAGTACCTGGAGAGTGGAAGTCCCCTTGCGGGCTGGGGCGTTGGTCTGCCATTAGGTCGACTCTATGCCAGGCGCATCCTGCAAACAAGCCGTACAACGCAACCTTCTGTTTCGTAATCTGTGCTTCTTCGAGCCAATGGGAGGTATTTGGGTGGATCACTGGAGTTGATGAACGTGCCTGGCACGGGTGTGGATGCGCTGGATGCCAAGCACACTTACCTATGAATTGTTGATGTTGTTGACGTATGCTCTTGTGCATGAGGAGCACGTTGCACAAGCGAGTCTTTGCCTGTCAGGTACCTGTTTTTGAGACGAATTGCCCCATCAGAGCGAGATGGCATACCGCTCCCTCCTAAGATGCATTGCATGCTTGCTATTTTTTTCATCCTGGTCCGTGATCTGAGGCGTACCTCCATCTCAGACTCACTGGCCCCGGTCTAGCAAGGATTCGTCAGACAACTACACCAAATTCCTGACTCGCATCGTCTCATCTGGGGAGAGGGCCCACGGCGAGCGCAACGGGCATATCGACTGCTTGCTTACAGACCCTTCCAGAGGTCACGGAGACGTTCAGCTCTGGCCACAGTACGGCCCACCAACGCGGCAGACATCGACCTACACAGCAGCCTCTGTGCGACATCATGAAGTGCCTGGCGTGACAGTGGCATGCATAGAAACTGCGCTTTCTAAAAAGGTTCAGGGTCCAGTGGCCACCGTGAGGGGTTGAAGCGCTTTAGTACACTTTGTGGCTCGTATATTCGCGGTTTCTCCACATGCTCTGCAGCTGTTCAACGATGCCGAGAGCCGTTGCGTTCAAAAGCCATGATCAAGACCAAAATACACGAGAGGCAATGAGAGACAAGAGAATGCTTTAGAGGAAACACCCATAAACATGGTGTGATACGTACGATCTGGCTAAGCATGAAATTGCAAGTGAACGTATCCCCATGACTGGGAAGTTGCACTGTGTGGGCAGACACCTGAGCATGGTCAGGCAGCTTGCTAGCGTAAAGAAGCTAAGAAATGTGCAGCACTGCAGGCCCTGCCCGTGGAAGAGAATGGCAGCAGACGAGGTTGACATGTGCCCCGTGCAATTGCTGCTTTGCGCACAGCCTGCATTCTGCAGCCTCGTGGCATGACATGTTGGAGATGTATGAGCTTCTGACGGCATTTGCGGTCAGCAGTTGCCAGGTCGGTTTTCTCCAAGATGGCGGAGCTGCTCGCGAGACCGCCGCTGGAGCTGATATCTCGACAGCTAGCACAAGACCAGGTTTTGAAAAGCCGGGAATTGCCGCTGCTATTTGATGCTGTTACAGGTTGGGGGGAGTGGAGATTGAATGCTTGACATGAAATATAGATTTCGGAGGGCGGCAGGGAGCATGGTTGGTCGATGCACTTCATCCACCCGAATTATCATTCTCATTCAGCAACCATCATCAACAGCCATCGAAACTGCATAGTCCATCATCACATGCTCGCAGCCTTTGCATGCGCCTACAGTCTATCGCGACCGCCATAGCTTTTGTGGCCATCATGGCGATCATCACAGGTATTCTGATCATCTGATCATCATTACTGCCAGCAATGTTCCCGTCTACATGTTCAGCATCATTTTTCATCCAAAGCACAACAAGCACCATCGGGATGCAGGAGCAGCCTCATCATCCCAGGCATTGGCGCCGAGCATGTCAGTGCCGAAGTGCTCATAAAATCATGTTCATCGTAATTCTAATGCGTAATGAGCCATCCTCCATCACCAGCCCGTGGGGATCATCCCACAGGTGTCATTGCTGTCATTTTTTCAGCCTTGGCACAATGAGTCAATGAGTCATCTATCGTTTTCAAACATTGCTGCCTTCTCCTTCAATTGTCCACTTATCTCGTGTTCTCATTCGCCGACATGACGAGCATAGTTGCCATCATTTTGGCCAAAAACATCCTTCATACCACCGCCTGACAGCAACGCAAATGACCATTCCTGATGATGAAGCGAAAGGCAAAATTGTTGTCATTGGAAGCAAAGTGACAAATTCGTCGCCGTTCGCATTATGGTCATGATATGGCAGCGGCTGTCATCCTTGAGTGCGTCGTAGTTCATCTTCATCTTTGGCCTCTGCAAAATCTGCGTCTTCAGTGTTATACCTGCTGGCTTTTGTTGGCCTGGGCTTGCCACTCAACTTGCGCGCAACAGAAATTTGCATTTGGCTGAGTCGGGCAAATATCCGAGGCTGTCCCCCACTGCTTTGGAGAAGGAGGCCAAGGAGGAAGCAGCCGGCATCCACAGCCAGCGGCAGCGTGCTCCGAAGCCGAAGATGGCAAAGGACAAGCCTGCTGCGCAGGCAGAGCAAGTATGAGCTAAGTGTAAGAACTTGATCTTGGTCAGTTGAAGTCGCCAGGCAAGAGCTGCACTCCGGAGCCGCTCCGAAGTCTCTGAGCCTGTTAGATTGCCTTCCCCAGCTGTATCCAACGTGGGGCTCAAAGTCTTTACCGGCATTTTCTGGCAGAAGAATTCGGCAGAACTGCTTCAGGATGCCGACCCAGAAGCCAAGGGCAGCATCCTGTCTGCGGTTTCGGAGCTTAGTGGAGCCGACTGGTTAATACATTTTTTTCTCAAAGAGAAACTTGTATGGTCACGCAGCCGACAGAACAGGTGGACTGCAGCAAGTCTGGAAGGAGAAAGTTAAGCACCCCTCTTACAGGAAGGCCTGCAAGAATAGTCCAGGGAGGCAATTGGATACGTTTAGTGTTCAGGCGGGCCCTCCTCGAATGAAGAGGCCTCCTATTAAGGTTCTTGAAGAGGAGGCTGGGCTGATGTGAGGCTAGGTGGAACCGTTGATGCATTGGGAAGTTGGCACGCTGCAAATAGCTTGTTCATGACAGGAGCGGCTTCAGAAGATGGACGAGATTGACAGTCTCGAGCAGCAGCTGCGAGAGGCAACAGCCCGGGTCAAGTCTTGTCTTATTGACAAGTGGGCAGCGAAGAACTTTGACCAGGCTAAAAATTTAGCAGCAGCCACTCGCCAAGCAGCAGCCGCAGCCGAGAAGCTGGCACAGGCTGCTGCCGCAGAAGCCGACGAGGACAACATACGAGAGGTCTCATGACGCGGAGATGCCCAGCACCAGCACATGGAGCACGCAGGACTCCAGCTCAGAGAAGCTGAATCCAGAGCTTCTCGGTGGCGGTCAGGACTCAAGTTGCCATTGGCTTGGTTTACTTGACAAACCTACTTGTAGGTATGTGTGCCTGTAGCAGATCTTCCTCTGGGCCGCAGGAGGAGCCTTCAAAGGAGGGGCTCCATCGGCAGGCAAAGCCTTTACTTGGCTCATGGGTTTTCATGAAGTGCGAGTCAAGCGCTTAGACTCACAAGGCTGAAGAGCGAGTCAAGGCACGCAAGCGCCAAGAAGTGAAGGACAGCCAGAGGGCATGTGAGGGCTCAGTCTTGATAGGTCAAGCGCTTAACCTCAGGAGCGTAGAGAGCGTCATCGCAAAGAAATGGAGGAGAAGCGCCAAAAGCAGGAGAGCCCACAGTTGCCGCGTCTGTAATTACTTCCACCCCGACTCCGTGTGATTTTGTGCCCCGGTGCCCAGTACATAGCGGCTTATGTGGGTTGTGAAACAATGCGAACCTTTCAGGGACATTGATGGTAACGTCCTATTATGGGATATTATGGGGTCTCCTGTTAGGTGTGGACGTTTACTTGTTCGCAGGGCATCGGTACGCCGAGCACTTTTAGAGGGTTAAGGATTGGGCCGCGGTCTGAATTGAGGGGTGAGAGGGACGGTCTGCCGCCTGCGCAGGCTGAGGCTGAAGCAAAGGCAAGTGAGTTGGAACGGCAGGCCAAGGAGCGTGTGCAGGACTGGTAACGTGTTGCCTCTTGAAATACAACGCAGCAGTAGAAAAGGCACCTGCGACAAATGACGTGCCCAAGCGAGGAGCGCATTCGAGCCGAGCGAAATCGTGAGAGACTCCTTCAGGAGGAGCATGAACGCCGAAGTCCCAATGTCTGCGAAACAACACTTTGACCCTGGAATGCCCCAAGGTGAGGCTGAGGAGCGAGAGAGGCGGTCACGGCAAGTTGCGGAGGAGCGCTTTCTGCTGTCACCCTGAGCGCCCTGAGCGCAAGCTGTGACACAGAGGAGCTGCGTCAACAGGCTCTGAAGCGGCTCGCTGACAAGGAATCACGTGCAGACTGCAGCTTGGGATGAGTAAGGCAAGGCCTTCCGGTTTACAGATGCAGCGATGCAGGAGCAGGCAAGTCGGCAGTGGACCGAAGAGATGGCGAAGCAAGAGTCAGAGGACAGCTTTCAGCAGTTTTTGTAATCTGGCAAGTGTTTGCCATGAAATCTGAAAGTTTTCTCTTCCAACTTTGTGAGCGTGGTCTGCTTCCGGAGGCAAGACGGCTGCAGATCGAAGAAAGCGAAGCTCGAGCTGAGGAGCTGTGGTGGCCTTGATTGCGCACAGTTACAACATGCTCCACTCGCTGCAACATGTTGCAATGCTATGAGGCGCTTGAAAACTCGGCAGCGAGTTCATCAGCACAACCGGGAGCAAAGGGAGCAGGAGCTGGCAGCTGACGAGGCTCGATTGCTACACGAGACCTGTGGATCGTAGTTTCCAAGCGCGGGTGAAATATGAGGAACGCCAACGCCGCAACGAAGACGCAGCGAGGGCCGTCATCTCATCCTGTACGAGAAGCAAGGCGCCGTGTGCTGTGCTCCTCAGCCCGATGACGCGCCTGAGGCTGAGGAGACCAAGATCCGGCAGGCGTGCCAGCACCACTATCCGCACTGCCTGACGTAGACTGAAGCAGTAATGATAATGAAGTAGCTTCTCATGGTGAACGTTGCGAGGCTTTGCAAAGTCAGCATCGTGCAAAGCTTCGCGCTGCCGAGTTCCGCCACAAAGCTAAATCTCAGGAGCAGGCTTGCACTCGTCAGCACGTGAATGACGCCGACTTCGTGCAGCTGCACTCCCTAAGAGGCACGTGTCCTCCTCCACGAAGAGGAGATTGAGCGGGAGCAAGAACGTGCAGAAGCTGCCGTGACCCCAGCGAACCCACTGATTTGTGATTTGAGTTTATGGGCGGAGCATAACGACATGAACATCCAAGGTTTGCATGGAGGGCCGTGTTTTGTAACTCTCGTCTGTTTGATGCTTTTTGAGCCCTTGCTTCTGGTCTTGCTGGCTGCGGCCTCCGGGCTTGCTGACTGTATTCAGTTTGAAGCTTGCGACCCCCTGGCTTGCTGACTTCGAGCTTCAATGCTGCACATTGACATTCTATTGCTCCTGCTACGCTGCCAGAGAGAGAGTGCCATTTTGGCTCAAGTCACACTTGCTGCCTCTCTCCACTTGGCAGATTGGCGGTCGGCACCGGCCCCTTGGGGTTAGGAGGTCTCTCCTTGCACCGGGGGGGCGGACGTGTGCTTGAGGGGGGGGGGCGGGGCTTGAGTCACAGTGAAGCCATTTTTCCATTCAGGCCCTTGTTGCGCACGCCCCTCCGTGGGAGTAAGCTCGGCTGACGTATAACCGGGGCAAGGGATGCTTGGAAAGGTTGAGGTTTCGATCTGCTTGGGGAGCACGTACTTTTGACCGTTCTGGAGGAACATTTAAGCCCCTTTCGAGTGTGCACAAGGGGGGTACGCATTCAAGGCAGTTACTCGTACAGTGTGTTTAGTGCAGGGATGTACAGGGTGAGCTTTGGGTTTGATTTACGGCGTTTGTTCTGGGAGTCTGGGATCGCAGGTGTCTTTTGGGGGAGAGCGCATGCTTGGGAACAAGGGACCAGGATTCCTTTATTGGGAAGAGGGGGATTCAGCGTGGATTCAGCCATGGCAGAAGAACTGGAGCATGCTTGCGAATCGGATTCGGATGGCTTGGAGTCCATATTCCCCCCCTTTAATAATAGGTCTTTGGGGGGGGGGTGTGACTGTGGGGCCCACCTATTTTAAATAGGTCCGGGACTTATTTCGGGAACTGTGGGGGACTGTTCAGAAATAGGTCTGGCAGAGCATGTTTTGCAGTCAGCATTGTCCGCATCAGCATGGCTCTGGTTCTGCTGGGGAAGCAGGGCCCACGCTCTCATGTGGTGAGCGAAATCACAAGTCGAGGAGTTCTTCAGAATCTTGAGGCTTTTACAAAACGCATATCAGGCATATCAAATTTCTTCGGAGTCATGCCACCAAATTCAGTGCGGGGTTCTTCAGAATGCTGATTCTTTTTAGTACATGTAGCATATTTCTTCGGAATAATGTCACTAATTCAGTGCCGGGTTCTTCAGACTGCTGAGTCTTTCAAGTACGGGTATGAAACTTCGTCGGGGTAATGCCACCAAAAAATGTGCACCAGGTGATTTGTAAGCTTGAATTCGTGCAGCCATGGAACCCCGTTGGGCGATCCAGCGTGTGCGTCGCGAGAAACAGAAGAGAACGGACTGCAGCTCGTCCAAAATAATTAGTCGGTCGCGCAGCGCAGAAAGTTCATGCACAGTTCTTGATTCCATAAAGATCGGGTTGCCTGGGCTATTTGCTAAGACCAATGGTGGCACTCGGGAACGATGTTCAAAAGTTGGTCAGCGGCTGCCGAACATTCTCACAAGAATGATCTGCCGGTGGGGAGCCCATAGTTTTGATCATAGTCAACAGCCTTCAACTTGCAGTGATTTGCAGGGCCATGTTGGTTTCTGGGGAGGTGCCACCTCTGAAAGAAGCGTACACCGAAGCACAGGCCTGGAAAAATTTCCTAGGGCATGTTGGCAGAAGCGCAACGCATCATACGCATCCCTTGCAGGATCCAATGCTGAATGGGGCTTGTCCTACGGGGCGCAAAACGGGTCGCAAGGCCCAATCCTCTGTGCCATCTGTGCCTTCTGAGCCAGTGGAGCCTGCGCAGGACATAAGAGCATCAGCAAGTTACTTGAACTATTGGAGATTGTTTTCAGCTCGCCTTTCTTATCCTTTCTTGCCTCAGGAGGGACGCAGTGATGGACAGGATGGACAGCATGCGCATGCCTCGACGGAGACGGTTGAGGCTTCCGCGTGTTGCTTGCTTGGGGTGTTAGGGCGGCTACGTATATTTGCAATCTGCGAGTGGGGGGTTTAGGATCAGGAGGTTCATGCTGAGTTCAGGGGCTGCTTGATTCTGACTTGTGCGTATTGCGCGTATTGTGCCTCCTTCCCCCTTTCGAGGAGCGTGGCAATGATATCGATGATGGCAAAGCTCAGACGCTTGTGGCTCCGATGAACCCATCAGAGGCATCTGCGCTTGCTTCTACTGCTTGGGGCACTAGGGGTCCACGCGTGCCTCAGGATCTTCCGCAGCGTGATCTTCTTCCGATGGATGAGTCAGAGGCATCCGCGTCTTCTGGGTTTTCTGAGACTCATGCTTGGGGGCTTGGGGCCTCTGACAGTGCTTGTTTCTGTGTTGTCTTTATTGCCTCAGGAGCCCTGCAATGATAGCGATGCTGGTCCTGGGCCAACACCAATGGAGACGTCCGAGGCTTCTGCATCTTCTGATCTTCTGCGCATGGATCTAGAACATTCGTTAATCGAATTTAGAGGATTTAGAGGTTGTCTTTTTGAGATACGGGGCGTCGGGCATTCATGAATCACACGCGTTGCATGTGCTGCTTGATTTGAGGCGGTGCTGTTTTACACATTTCTGCGTGGGTCCTTTCTTGCGTCAGGCTGGAGGCAATGATGGATATGATGGAAAGGATGCGCAAGGCAATGTCTCGATGGAGGCTTCCGCATGTTGCGTGCTTGATGTGTTTGCTGGCTACATGTATTTGCAATCTGCGGTTCGATTTTTTTAGGATCAGGGGGTTGATGAGGATGTATTCATGTTGACTTCAAGCGCTGCTTGCGCTGCTTCATTCGGAGTTGTGCGTGTTCCACGTGTCCCCCTTTCATCATGGACTGTGTCCTGAGGAGTGCGGCAATGATGGCAAAGCTCAGACGCTTGAGGCTCCGATGGATATATCAGAGGCATCGGCGCTTGCTTTTACTGCATCTCCTGCATGGGGGGCGCTAGGCCGCTAGGGGTCTCTAGGACATGTTATGATTTTTGTGGTGTCACCCCCTTTTGTTAATGGCCCAGATGTTCAGTCTTGGATTGAAAACATTGGGAGACAAGGAATAGGGAGGTCGGGTGTTTGTTCCTGGTTGATAGCTTGATTCTTGGGAGGGTTGGGGGTTGGGGTTTGGGGGTTGGGTTGACTCTTTGGGGTTCTTGACGAGTTTTTTGATGCAGTGCTGGAATTGCTCGATTATTGCTTCCATTCCATGAGCATCACGAACTTTTTTGACAGGATGCAGAGCATCCAGCACACCCGGTGGCATCAGTGCCTCTTCAGGCAGAGTTGGGGAGTTTAGAGGATGCATGACAATATACGCGACATGGCAGAATGTGGAGGCTCTGGAACCCTTGCCGTCCTTGTTGCTCAACCTCGAGGATATGGGACGCATTCCGCTTTCTTGCTGCCTTGCGTGCGGTATGTGTCGCTTCTCGATCTTCTCGTGTCCCAATTGCTTCAGGATCTCAAAGATGAACAACCTGATCAACTTGGCGATGCTGGAGATGCAGATGGGGAGGCGTGTGGTGTTGTAGAGTTTTGATTCCCGCGTACCATAAAACTTTACCATCGAAGTCTCTATGATCTCTATGATACTTCCTAGACCCGGTCATCACCCTCATCATTCTTTGGTTGAAGATAAAGATATGTATATATATATAAGTGGGTCCCGATGGAACCCCTCAACCCCTAAACTCGAACCTTAACCGCTAAACCCTAAACCTGAATCCTTAAACCCTAAACCTTCCATCAATTCCTCCCGTGTCAACATTCTTTTCCAGGAGTTGCCGCGCCCTGATGCAGATGATCCTGGCGTTGTGGAGGCTCCAGCTTCTGCGAATCGCGAGGCCATTGAGGCCGGGTCTCTGCGCATGCCTCCATGCGCCTGCTCATGATGCGCATGATGTGGGCACCAATTATGCCATGTGTCAACTGCCTGCGCAAAAGCTTTCCTCTTTGGTGGCCGCTTGCTGCAGATGCTGAGCAGTGCACTGTGCTGGGGAAGTAGGTAGCCTCTACACTTCCTGCGGTAGCAATGGTGGGACTCTTGGCTGTGCTGCTTCTGCCTTACCTGCCTCATGTGGCACTTGCGGCAAAGTCTTCCAAGTCTGCACTGGAGCCAAATCAGCAATGCAGACTTCTTGCGCTGCGTGGGAAGTGTAGGGGATGTAGGAGTGAAAGACGCAGAAGCCAAGGATGATACCGCGACAGGTGTGTCGGAGGACTTGTGGTTTTACGCGGAGCAGCATGTGGAAGAGTTGATGGAGTTTGCGCTCCGTGCCCGCGCACATGCGCCGCACGCTTACAGTATCCTTTTTCGTACCCAAGCCCCCAATCGCCCAATATTTCCCCAACTCCCAGGCCAGACCCTCATGCCATCGACCTCTTCTCAGCCAGCGGCTCTGTGGCAAAGCAATTTACTCGTGAAGGGCTCAAGGCCTGCTGGTTCTGTGAAAAGTAACGCAGCAGACTATACAGCTCATACAGCTCACGCTGTGCAGGCTGTCCAGTATGATATTCAACTTGGTCATCGCTGCATGGACGTGTCCAGCAAGAGGGGCTTCCTTCACCTGTTGAGCCGCTTGCCTGATTGGTGTCTGGCGAACCCTTCCCTTGGGCTCTCAAATCTCTCAATGCCTTTAGGGTACTGCAGTTTGGTAATTAATGTAACTAATAGGATGTGATTGTAAAGTGCCTGATACTACCCTTCTTGTAGACTGTGCTTGGTGGGTATGGCGGGGAAAGAATCCAAAGTAGATGCAGTGTGTTGCATATATTGCGTCATATGGCATATACTGCAGTGTTGTAAGACTTGGGTATGTTTCCGAAATTTCCTGCGCGTATAGACTTTGAAATCTGGGAGGGGTCTGGAGTTTGGGAAAGGAGTCTTCCTGTTAAGCTGCTCCCGCGGGCTTGGGCTACAAGGTTTTAGGAAGAGCTTTTCTGCAGTAGTCCACAGTCTTTGGGA